CGGCGCGCGCGACGCGACGACGGCGCGCGCGCGGACGGGCGCGACGCGATGGCGCCCGCGACGACGGGCGTGGACGGCGCGCGCGCGCGCGCGTCGAGCGGGGCGCGGTGCGGGCGACGATGGCGACGAGACGATGGCGTGGTGCGATGGCGACGGGGCGACGGACGACGGACGATGGCGACGACGCGGACGACGACCGCGCGCGCGCGGGCGCGGGACGCGGACGTTGGTGGTGAGATGTTCGATGACGGCGACGCGCGGGAGGATGAGACGTACGCCGCGGGGAGATTGGCGGCGATGGTGAACGCGTACGGCGACGCGGCGCTGACGTCGGCGAGCGGGACGTCGATGGCGACGTACGTCCGAGACGGTGTCGCGGAGCTGAGTTGGCGAGGGAGGATGATGTTTATGGATCGCTTGAGCTCGCAAGGGATCGAGAACGCGTGGACGATCGCCGGGGAGGGCTACGAGCTCACGCGAAGGGAGCGCGCGGCGTTCGCCGGTTCGACGAGCGAGGAAGATTTTCACGTCGTGAACGAAATCATAGGGGATGGAATCGAGGACGGGGAGGCGGTGGTGTTCGAGGGCAAGGTTGGAAGACTTCCTGGGTCGTTTTTGAATCGTTTCTCCAAGGCATTCTACGTCGAAGAGGACGACGATCCGTTACGAAGCGAACCGGCGGTGAAACTCTTTGGCAGAGCGTCCATTAAAAAGGGACCGCTCGACGCCCTGCTTCCGCTATATTTCGCCTCAAACGACATCGGCGACGACGCGGTGTTCATTCCAGGCACCGACGAACGCGCGGACGTTTCTCTGGATTACCGAAACGTCCCCGTCTTACCCTCCAAACGACCCTCCGCCGCGCGCGCTGGCGGCGTCTCTTGGCCCGCGCCCAGGCTCGCCTTGTTCCCGTTCGACTCATTGGTGGATTACCTCCGTCCTCTGGCCCCGGGCGTGCTCGTCGGTCGCGGCTACAGATTCACCACCGGTTCGTCCAAGAGATTTCTCGACTTCATTCTCGTCCGTCGCGACCGCGAATGAGGTCCCTCGGCGACGTTCGATTCGCGTCCGCCGCGGCCCACTTGTAAGCACAGCTCGATCGACACATCCCGACGCCTCTCGCGCATCCTTTCGCCGTCTCGAGCGCGGTCTCACCTCACCCACCGCTTCGGTAAATCGCGCGTGGGCGATCGCGCGCCCACGCGGCGTCTCTCTCGACGCACGGCGCCGTCCGGGGCGTCGAACGTGGACGTCATCGCGAGGAGCCAGCGTCATGGGTTTGTCGAGATTCGCATCGCGCGTGGTCAGGGAGACGCTCGGCGCGGTGCGAACGGCGCAGATGCGGTGTGAACACGGATATCTGGCGTCGCGAAAGATTCCGAGCGCGCGGGGGGCGGCGGAGCGATTGGTGCGAGCGACGGCGGGGGCGCGCGGCGAGGGACGAGGGACGGGGTCGACGCCGCGTGCGGCGAACGGATTCAGCGCGCACGCGGTGTCCGCGGGGGATGTTGTCGAAGACGGTGGACCGATAAATCCATTCATGATCGTGGACGATGAGCTGCGGGCGATCGGAGAGCGGATGCGAAGGGCGGTCACGAGCGACATACCGGCGTTATCCACGGCGAGCGAGTACTTTTTCAAGCTCGGCGCCGAGGGTAAGCGCATGCGGCCGACGGTGCTGATGCTCATGGCGAGCGCGATGACGACTGGAATTTCGACGAACGCGGCTAGAGGGGGATGGAGAGAGGCGGACCACGCACCGGCGCACGAGGCGCCGGACGACGTACGTCGACGACAGCAAAGGCTAGCAGAAATTGCGGAGATGATTCACGTCGCTAGCTTGCTGCACGACGATGTGCTAGACAACGCGGCCACTCGAAGAGGTCTCAGAGCGTTGAACTTGGAGGTTGGGAATAAGCTGGCAATCTTGGCAGGGGACTTTTTGCTCGCCCGTGCCTCGGTGACGCTCGCATCTTTGCGGAACACCGAGGTCATTGAGCTCTTGTCTCGAGTCCTGGAGCACCTCGTCGCGGGCGAGGTGATGCAAATGACAGCAAAGCCGGAAAGCTTATCTTCGATGGAGCACTATGTGAAAAAGACGTATTACAAGACGGCGAGCCTGATTGCGAATAGCTCCAAGGCTATCGCGTTGCTCGGAGGCCACGGCGAAAAGAGCGCAGACTTGGCGTACGACTACGGTAAGAACCTCGGCTTAGCCTTCCAGTTCCAAGATGACGTATTAGATTTTATCGGTTCCGAATCTATTCTCGGTAAGCCGACTCTTGGAGACCTGAAGGAGGGCATCGCCACCGCCCCGGTGCTCTTTGCCGTGGAGGAGTTCCCCGAGCTTCAGGAACTCGTTGAAAGACGCTTCAAACACTCTGGAGACGTTCAGCGCGCACATGAACTGGTGAAGAAGAGTAAGGGTATCGCTCGCACGCAAGAACTGGCGCGAGAACATCGTGACTTGGCTATCGCCGCAATCGATGCTCTCCCGGTGTCTGAATCGTCGTATGCCAACAAGTGCAGACGCGCGCTCAAGGAGCTTGCGCGACGATCGGTCGAGCGATCGAAATGATCGTACTTGTAGTTGTTTACACTCTAGTCTAGACTACCCAGCTTTCGTTTCCATCGTTTTCTCGGCAACGTCTTTGTTCTCGCTCTCCTTTACCTTCTTACTCGCCTCTTCCTCCGCTCGCTTGCGTTCCTCTCTCCTCTTCGCCTTGCGATCCCACTTTGCGCGCCGCTCGGCGGCAAACTTTTCCGCCGCCGGATCCGGTTTGATGCGAATCGGTAATGCGTGTAAGACATCATCGTCCGAGTTATCGGTGTAGAAATCATTCGGGCTTCCGGTGAACAAATCTGGTGCATCGTCGGGGTCCAGTCGCTCCACGGGAATCTGTCCTCGTCGCGTCTGCTTCTCGCCTGGAGGCTTGGCGTCGAATTCGTCCTCCGCCTCTACATATTCGTTGTTATCGACTAAGGTGACAAACGACGGGTCGAACGCGCTCCAATCTTCGACGTGTTTCCTCGACCACACGTACATGTAACCGTTTGAACCGAGCGCTATGGCACAGTCGCGAATGGGGTGCGCTGCGAGTTGCGTCACGCCCTTCGCCTCGGCCGGGCCCTCGAGCACGCACTTCAGCTCTCCGGACGCGCGATCCCAGACGTGTATTTCGTGCGCTGCGCCGCTGCTGACGCCGTACACGAACTCACCGTTCCAAGGATACGCCGCCGCGCCCCACTGTAGACGACTCGCCCACGGACTCGCGTACTCACGCGCCGGTCTCAACACCTCGCTCGCCTCCGTCGCCGCGTCGTCCACGTCGAATCCATACAGCGTCTGCGCATTCGTCACCGCGAGCAAGTGTTTACCGTTTCGACATAGCTCCAACCGCTTCACCATGGTCGCGTTCGGGACGTCAAACGAGCGAACCAACCGCGTCGCCTCCGCGTCAACCACCGACACCACACCCTTCGCGTCTCCGACGAAGATATATTTTCCGTTTTTACTGCACACCGCAAACCCTGGGATGGGTGCATCGTGCGGTGACGGCATCTCCATCTCCTTTTGCCCCCTGAGACTCGTCCCGCGCACGTACGGCGCCCGCTGCACGCTCGGACTGATCACCAACGTATCCCCCTTCGGCCTCGCCGCGCTAAATCCAACGCTCGAGCACAGTCCAACGTTCGACAACACCGCTCGCACGTCCTCTTCCAACACGTCCCACACCTCAACCTTTCCATCGCTCTTCGCCGCGACGATTTTTCGTCCGTCGCCGCTCCACTGCACGCTCAGCGTCGCCGCGGCCTCTTCGTCCGTCTCATCGCTCCGCGAGAACTCTCGCGTCACCGCTCGGACGTCCCAGCACCAAATCACGATCGATCCACTCGCGGTGCCGCACGCGAGCATCGTCCCGCGGCGATTCCACGCGCAGCACGTCGTTCGTCCACCGCTCAGCGTGTCCTCCACCACCTCCCATTGTCGATTGACATCCTTTCCTGCGCGCACGCGCGAGGCGCCACCGTCAGTCCATCGCCCGCGCGCGTCATTCGCTCGCGCCATCGCTCGCACGCACGCTCGAACAGGCGAAACATCGACGCGGCGTCGCGTCGCGGGGTGCGGGACGCGCGAGGCGAATCCAAAAAACCGCGACGCGCGCCCACACGTCGTCGCGCGCGCCATGTCCGCCCGACCGACGCACGCGGACGCGCGACAGTGGAAGCGGCGTCGCGCGAACGACTTGGACGCGCGCGCGCGACGGGAGCGGACGAGAGAGGATGTTAGGGAGTGCGCGAGCGCGAACGCGTTGCGATCGCTGGAGCGAGAGTTGGACGAGGCGATCGCGTCGAGGCGAGCGCGGGCGCGAGGGACGAGTCGGTACGAACGCGCGGTGCGCGCGCGCGTGCGCGCGTGCGTGTTCGCGTCGAAGACGGGCGTGGATGGGAAAGGATTCGTGCTTCGCGCGTGCGGATGGCCGGCGGACGGCGAGGCGGCGGAGCCGTGGAGCTCGAGCGATGGCGACGGTAGGTTTGCGCAGTACGTGAAGACGATAACGATAACGCTCGACGGAGAACGCCGACCGCGGACGTGGACGAGCGATGGTCGGCCGGGGAAGGATCGGTTTGACGGGTTCGAGGTGCGCGGTCGGGCGGAGAGCGGGACGCGCGAGGCGACGATTCGGATCGAGTTTCACGGCGACGGGGAGCGGTACAAGGTGGCGAGAGAGTTAGCGGAGCTCCTGGCGACGCCGTATGCGACGCGGAAGCGCGTGATATCGGAGATTTGGACGTATTTTTCGGTCAACGATTTGGTGAGCGACGACGACGCGTCGGAGGTCGTCGTCGACCAGCCGATGCGTGAGGTTCTCGTCGGGGCGGGAATGACGGTGCCAACGGATGGGAAGTTGAAGGTTGTGAGCGTGTGTGAGTTCGTGTGCACGAACATGCTCAGTGCAGTGGAGCCGTTGGAGATTAGATATAAGATTGACGTGTCAGGCCCGTCGCCGTCAAAACCCGAGTGCTACGACGTTGAGGTAGAGATGATGGCGCCAGCGTACATTTCGACCGAGAGCGATCCAGAGAAGAGCATCGAACAGTGCGAGGCGCATATTCGACGCGCGTACCCGTACATCGAAGCTCATCTACAAAGAAGGAACTTTCTCCTTCGGTTCGCAGAGAGTCCGTTTGATTTCATCAACTCTTGTGTGCGAGACCAAGCGCTCGGGATGTATGAGACAAAGGCGGAAGATTTGTCGTATGTTAAGGCGCGAGACGCTCCGGAGAGGCCGGCGCCGAGGTGCTCGGAGAGATATCACGAGCCGTGGGTTGACGAAGCCGTGATGCGATTATTGTGATAGATTAAAAATAAAAATCAAAAATCATTGCTTGGCTCCACCAGCGTGCACGTCCACTCGACGACGCCGTGTTCGCGTTTGAACTCATCCTCCATGTCGCCAAACTCACGCGCGTGTGAAACGCGGTCTTCCCATATTCTCACTCTCTTAGGTTTATACTTCTTCACGAGCCTTCGTAGCTCATTCTGTTTGTACACGAGCGTGCTGTGTCCTGTGCCGTTGAAAATGTGCTCGTGACACTCGATGTCAAACACTCGCATCACCGCCTCGACAGAATCCTTCAGCTTACTCCTTCGACCCGTCATCATCACGCGTACCACGTCCTCGCGCATCACGCTCTCTCGATATTCCTCGAGCGCCGGTCCGACCCCCATGGTGAGCGGCGGTTCCAGCGACTCGGCGCGTCCCCACCATCCTACGTGCGGCCACCGCGTCCCGGTTCGCCTCTCGAACTCCTCCATCCCATCCGTCGGCGTCGGCGTGTCCACGAGTGTGCCATCGAAATCAAACACGTGCAACTCCTCGCATCCACGCGCGTCCACCGCGTCCTCTACCGTCGTCATCGTTCACACCCGCGCGTGCACCCGTTCGTCCGCGAACACTTTGGTGAGGTGCTCCGCCGACGCGCGCGCGTTCTCCACCTGCGCCTCCCCCAGCCTCAGCGCCTCCTCCAAAGCGTCACCCTCGACCGAGGCGTTCTTCTCAAACTCCGCCCGCGTCTTCGCTCGCACGTACGCCCCCCGGTTCGCCTGCGTCGGCATCCAACGTCGTTCGTCAGTCCACTTGCATCTTCGCGCCGCCGCCTCTTATCCGTCCCTCCACGCCGCGCATCGACGCTCGCACCGTCGGGAACGCCTTGCTGACGCGGAACAGCTCCCTGTACAGCGCTCGAGCGCGTCTCGCGAGCTCGCGCGCGCGCATCAGTGCCGGAAACCCGTCAGAGCGCGACGCTCGAACGATGGGCGAGGCGTTCGTTCGCGTCTTACTGAGCCCCTTACGTGACGCCGCGATCGTCGACGACGCGCTGCGGGACGGACGATTACGAGAGTGCCCGCGAGCGACGTTTCGCGCGATCGTGCGCGCGAGAGACCGCGCGGTAGATCGTGGACGACGGTTGGAGGATGACGTGCGAGAGCGACCCGAGGTGCTGAGCGAAGCTCTGGAGGGCGACGACGCGACCGACGGAGCGCGGAAAGCGGTGAGAGCGATGTCCGCGGTGTCTGGTAAATTGAAGGAGTTGACGGCGTCGAGTTCGGGGTCCGAACGGGGGGGTGACGGACGGTACGCGTCGGGGAAGTACGCGGTGGGCGGTACGCTGAAAGGCACGTCGACGCGAGAGGACGACTTAAAGGTTCGATTTTGGAACCTGTGGGGTGGGAGTAAAACGTGCAGGGAAGTGATGGTGAAGAGCGCGAGGGATAGCGTGTACAGGAATCCGGAGGGGTTGGAGCGGGCGGTGTTGAGTTTGGATCGAGTGGCGCCGTTTGTCGACAGTCCGTTGTTGCTGCACCGCGCGCCGGAGCTCTTGGCGATGCCGACGGGGGAAATCGTCCGGAGATTGGTGAAGATGCGAGATGTGATACCGAGGGATGTGGGATTCGTGGCGACGCAGATGCCGGCGTTGCTGTTGATGAAGCCGGAGACGTTAACGCTCGCAGCGCGGCGACTGGCCGCGGCGCAGGGGACTAGCAAAGCGTGCGTCGTAGATTTCGTTCAGTCGGAGGGCATCGACGCGTTCGCTGCATTTGCGTGCGAGGGTGAATCTGAGGAGGTTGAACCGGTGACGGTAGCGTAGCTTCTGACGAAGAACTTGTGTTGTAAATTTTCAACTGTGCTTTTATTGCTCTTTACTTCTTTCTGGGTTCGCTCGACGAGATCGCCTTTCGTTTGCGCTCGCCGCTTTCTTTTTCCTTTCGCGGTTTCTCCTTCTTTTCATCGGCAGCGTCCTCGGACTTTGCGCTCATTTTGGTCGTGATGCGTCGTTGTGCACCTTTTCCGTCGCCAAGTTGAACAGCGTTCACTTGAGCGGCGAACTTCAGCGAGCACATGGTTTCTTCCGCGCTGGCCGTTTCCGGGTTGATGTTCACAAACATCAGCGTTTTGCCATCACCACCGAGACACGGTTGCAACAAATAGGTGAGCTTGGAGTTGCGGTACGGCACGTGTGCTTGCTTCGCCGCGAGCGCGGAGAAGACATCGCCAAGCGAGGACAGAGACTTGTTGATAGCGCACGCCTCCTTCAAGCGCTTGCCTTCGGCACCGGATCGACCAACGCGCTCGGAACCGGCGAGATCAACTAGGTTCAAGCATCCGGTCATTTCACTACCGCTCGACGCGTGTTCGCCGACGATGTACAACATGAAGATAGTGTGAGAGCGAGACGACTGCGCATTCATGTTCGTGGCTTCAACGACGCGCGCCGCAGAGGCGCGTCGGACCAACGCCGCGGCGGACTCTACGGAGTCGATGTGTTCACGCTGAACACCGCTAACTTCGGTGACGCCGTTCTTGTGTACGATCGAATGTTTGTCGCTGTGCGAGCTGCCTGGCTTGAGCAAATCGCGTACTTGTTCGTTGTAAATCTCAACGTAAGAGGCGTGCATGGTGTACTTCCAGCCCTTGTGCGCGTTCTTTTCGGATGCCTCAACGATTTTTGCGACAGATCTGGGGATGATACCTTGCATATCGCCGTTACCTTCGCCCAACATCGTGTGCGTCTTTCCCGAACCGGTTTGTCCATACGAAAACAGGCACACCTTGTAACCGTCGAGAGCGGATTGCACGAGTTGTGAGACTTCTTCGAATATTTCGTCTTGCTTGGAAGAGGGATCGAACACTCTATCAAACTCAAACGCGGCATTTTCCTTACCATCGGCACGCGTCAGGTTCAAGGAGCTTCCGTCAGGCGCGCACTTCACTGCCGGCTCGTTCTCCGTGGGGCGCACTCTGCAGAAGACTCGCACATTTCCACGAAGCTCTTGAATCTGGTTGTGGAGAGCGCGTCGCTGTGATTCAGCCTCGAGTGCTTGATGCTCGAGCTCTTGAATGCGGGCTTGTCGTTCTTCGAGTTGGAGTCGGAGCTCTTCCGATTCCTTGAGGATGCGTCTAGCGTTGTCAACTTCGCGAGTTTGCTCAAGCAGGCGAGCTTCTAAAGCTTTGTTCTGCTCGTTACCCTCCTTGTTCTTACGCAAAGAGTCTGCCTCCTTCAACGCATTGAGTTCGGAGAGAAGTTCAGTGCGTTCGCGTTCGAGCGCTTTTTGAGCGGTCGTGAGCGATTCAAGCGTGGTCTTATGAACAGACGTGCTCTCTTTGAGCTGCTTCTCGAGTCGTTCAACTTCCTTCTGTTCGCTTTCAAGTTGCGCGACAACGCCAGCGATTCTGGCTTCGTGACCATTGACAGCTTCTTCGCTAGCCTTAAGTCGCTCTTGCGCGGCTTCCATTTCTTGCTTCGCCGTTTCGAACTCGGCCAATTGCTGTTCCATGTCAGCCTTCTCCTTCAACGCAGCCTCGGCGCGCGACTCAATGTCTGCCTTTGCTTGTTCAACGGCCTTGATCTTCGAGTCGAGAGCGTCACGCTCGCCAGCGAGAGCGTCGCGTTCAGCTTCCATCGCCTTGAGACGCGTTTCGAGCTTGCCCATCTTCTTCTCGTGTTTTGCACCGACAGATTCCACTTCCTCTGAGAGCTTCTTCTGAGTTGACTCGAGGTCTGCAAGTCGGATAGCGAGGGACTGCTTTTCATTGGACAGAGCGTCTCGCTCGCTCAACATTGCTTTCAACTCTTTGTTTAGCGTCTTTAACTCGCCTTGAAGCTCGGCAACAGTCGCCGTCTCTTTCGATAATTTGTCTTGCATCTTTTCAGCAAGTTGCTCCTTCTCCGTCTGCAACTTCTCAACCTTCGCTTCCGCCTTTCGTAATCTGACTTGCTCGGCTTCGAGGTTGGCACTGATCTCCTTGATACGCTCCTCAGCGTTTGACTGTGCACCATTCACTTTCTCCGCGAGGTGAGCCTCAAGTTCATGTTGCGCACGCTTGTGCTTCTCGCTCAAGCGGTTCACCTTGTCCTCAGCAGCCTTCTGCACTGCCGCCAACTCTTCGGCGGCGCCTTGGATCTCGTCATCGAGCTCCTTTTGAAGAGACTCAAGCTTTTCGTTCGCCTCGTCAAGCTCTTTTTGGAGATTGGCGACCTGCTCGGAGGATGTATTGGACGTCTTCTCGAGCTCCTTTTGGAGCTTTGCCAAACTCTTCTCAAGCTCCGCGGAGTGCTTTTCTGCAGCCTCCACCTTCTCGTTCGCCTTGTTGACGCGATCTTCAGCCTTTGACATGGCCGTTTGTAACTTTTTGTCCGCCTTGTCTTGCGCCGTTGCGATAGCCTTGTCGGCTCTGCGGCGCTCCTCCGCGATGGCCTCGTGGTGTCGATCTTCCGCTTTTTGCATATCTTCACGAGCTTGCTTTTGAACTTCCTGCAACGTCGCAGAACCGTTGGCGAGTTGATCTCTACGATCGGCTTCCATACTTGCGAGTTCTTCGCGCACTTGCTTGAGCTCGCCCATCATGAGAGTTTGCTGTTCGATAAGACTCTTCGATTGCAGCTTGGCGTCCGCCAAATCAGACTCGGCGCGCTTGACATCCTTCTCCGCGCGCTTCAATTCGGAGGCCATCATCGCCTTTTCGCTCTCGAATGAGGTCTTGAGTTGCGTCAAAGTTTCACTCGCCGACTTGTACTCGTCCTTCAGCGAAAGAAGATCTTCATTTCTAGCCTTGAGTTCAGCGCTCGTCGCCGTGAAATCTGCCTTCAGCTCTCCGTTTGTAGACTTCAGCTCGGCAATCTTCGCCTCGAGGTTTTCCACCTGACTGTGCACAGACGAGTGCTCACCGTTGAGAGCCGCGAGCTCGCTCTCCAGTTTTTCAACTCTCGCAGTCTTCTTCGTGAGAAGGTTCTCGTTCTTGGTGACGGCCTTCTTAGATTCCTTGACTTCAGCTCGCAACTGAGCAATGGTGTCCTTTGAAGCGATTTCATCCGCAGTCGCCTTGGCTCTGACATCGCTCAATTCAGCCTCGAGTGCATGAATCTTCGACTTCAATTCTTCCGCCGAGCTTCCGAGTTGCTGTGCTTCGCGCGCCGCAGCTTCCTCAGCCATATTCACGCGCACTCGAAGCGACTCAACTTCGGCGTTGGCTTCTCGAAGGCTCTCCTCGAGCTGCGCGCGCTGCGCCGTAGCACGCGCGCGTTCGGCCTCAAGCTCACTCGTTTGCTTACGAAGCTGACCTTCCAAAGCGCGTCGTTCGGCTGCGAACGTGAGTTCGGCTTGCTCGGCCTCAGTCTTGAGCTGCTTAACGTCGCGCTCGAGCTTACTGTTCGCCTCCTTGGCCACGCTCTCGCGCGTGGAAGACTCTGTGAAAGATGATTCGAGCTTGGCGTACTTGCTCGCCGCGCCGTCGAGTTCTTTGGATTTTTTCGCCAACTCCTTCTCCAGAGCCGCAAGCGCCGTCTTGGCCGCGCTCATCTCCTCCTTGAGCGAGCCCTCGGCGCGTTCGCGTTCGCTTGCCATGCTCGCCTCCTTTTCGCTCGCTTCCATCTTGAGCGCCTTGATTTGCGCACGTAACTTTTTTGACTCCGCCTCGGCCGCCACCGCGGACGCCTTGAACACGTCCATTTGTGACGCAAGCGCGTCGAACGATTGCTTCTCGTTCGCCTCGTGCCGCTCTAACTCCTTTGAAAAGTTGGCGCCGTTCTGGAACACGTGCCTCAGGCAGTCCTTCGAAGCCTTCACCGCGTTCGTCAGCTCGTCTATGCGATTCTTGTAATCGTGCGGTCGCGCCTTGGGTCTGAAATTGATCGCCCGCTCGCATTTATCGATAAAGTCCTCGTTCTCGTAGTACTCTCGATAGAGCGTCGCGACGCCGCTCGGCGCCACGGCGCCCGGTACTTCCATCGGCGCGCTCACTGGCACCACCGGTACGGTCGCCATCGCCGCCGCCACCGGAACCGCGCTCACATCGCCACCATCCGATTTCACCGCCGCGCTCTCCTTCCTCGCCGCGTCCAATCGCGCGCGCATGCTCTGCAAATCTCTCGCCGGAGCCGCGCGCGCGTTTCGCGTCTCATCCTCCGCCATCTTACTCCCCGTCCACAGCGCCTCCGTCGGCGCTTCCGCGCTCACCGCCGCGTTCGTGCTCTCTTGCAGCGTTATTTTCGTCGTCTTCACCGCCTCCGTCATCGCGTCGTCGTCCGCGTTCGTCCTCGAGGCGTCGTCGCGAGATGAACCGCCGTCTCTCGCGCTGGTTCCCCTTCGCGTCTTCATCGCGCGCGTCGTCGGCGGTGCGTCGCTCGCCGCGGCATCACCGGCGCGCACGGCGATCGTGACGTCGTTCTCTTTGTCCACGGTCATCGCGCAGCGTGTGGCGCGCGCCGAAGCGGACGCGGCGACGCGATGTGTGGAGACGCATGGACGGCGTCCCAACGGCCAGGGGTGGAGAATTAGAGCGCGACGGCGCGACGGTTGGATTCGGATGGTTCCTTACCGGTCTAGCGATGGTCTAATCACGCGTTCTTCTTGCCGCGACCGCGACCTCGGCCACTACCTCGGCCGGCGGTGCGTTTGCGCTGACGGTTGTTGGCGGGACGACCGCGAGCGGCGCGACCGGGAGTGTCGCGCTTGGCTTGCGGCTTGGCGGGCGCGGGGTCGTCGACGAGGAGTTGGTCGACGAATTCGTCGACGTCCTCCTCCAATTCGCCCTCTAATTCGCCCTCTTCGGCGTCATCGTCATCGGCTTCATCATCCTCGACTTCGTCTTCGGCGTCTTCTTCGGCGGCAGCCTTGGCGTCGTCTTCGACGGCTTTGTCGTTGGGACCGGCGTCGGCGTCTATCTTCTGCGCCTTGGCGGAAGTGTCTCCCTCCGCTGCGTCGTCGACGTCGTCCGCCTTGCGTTTTGTCCCAGCCGCCGCCGCTGCTGCCTTCTTGCGTTCGAGCTCTTGTCTCATTTCTTCCATTTTCTGCTCGAGTCGCTTCTTCTCCTCTACCTTGGCGGCAGCCTTGGCGTCGACCTCTTTGTCGTCGGCGGTGACGACCTTCGGCGCGAACGGGACGGGGGCGACGGGGGCAGCGGGAGCAGCCGACGGCCTAGCGCTCGGAATGAAATCTTTCGCCTTGGATGCCAACTCAGCGAGCGGCGGCTTCGACGGTGCGGGCGCGGCTGAAAGCTTCTTCTCGAGCGCTGCTCGCAACTGTTCAGCGAGCTTCAATTTTTCGCGCGCACCGTCCAGCTCCTTCTGAAGAGTCGCACATTTTTCGACCGCCTCGGACTTTTCTTTGAGAGCTGTCGAAAGCTCGGCATCCTTCGCAGCGAGCATCTCTTCCGTCTCGCGAAGCTTCTTCGCGGCTTCCATCGCTTCCGCCTGCATCTTCTGTGCCATTATCTTGAAGCGATCCGACGACGGCGTAACGGGGGCTGCAGCAGCCGTGTCACCGTCTCCGCCATCAATGGTCTCCTCCTTCGCTTCCTCTTCGGGTTTGGTTTTCGCCGGAGTCTCCGTGGCGGCCTCTTCCCCCATACGTTTCGCGGCCTCTTGCAACTTCTCTACCTCGGCTTTCATTTCACGCAACGCCTTCTCAGCGTTCGCGGCCGTTTCAGTGGCTGACTTGACCTTGGTGTTCGCGGCTTCAAGCTCTGCCTTTGCACTCGCGAGCTGAGAAGCGATATCGGACTCGCCCTTCTTCTCCGATTTCGCCGCCTCGGCAGCGGCTTCGAGCTCCGCGAGACGATCCATCTGTTCTTTTTGAGACTTCTGCCACTCGGGAAGCGGCACCTTCTCTGGGTTGTACACGCGAATGTGCTTCATGCTGATGGTCAGCTGCGATTTCGCCTTGTCTGCGCGAATAGTCTCATTTGCGAGCTCTTCCTTCGCCTTCGCGAGCTCCTCCTCAAGCTGAGTCTTGACGCGACCTTGTTCTTCCACGTCAACATCGCCGTACTTGGTGACGAGCTGCGACGCACGTTGCTCCCATCGACTCGCCTCCTTGCGAACGGTTTCGAGCTCGGTGTCGTGTCCAGCCACCGCGGCTTTGGCTTGCGCGAGCTCTTTCACGATAATTTCGCTCTTAGATATCAACTCACTCTCACGTTGCTTGGCTACCGCGATGTCAGCCTTAGCGACCTCAATCTCGGCTCGCAGCGCGGCATTGGCTTGCTCAATCGCGTTAAGTTGATCAACTTTCTGCATGAGAGATTTGTGTTTCTCTTCGCCCATAGCGTTCGCTTCGCTCGCCTTGACTCGCGCCTTCGCGCTTTCTGCTTCTTGCAGAGCGACTTCCGCATCGCGCTGCCACTTGTTACGTTCCACGGTGAGCGTAGAGACTTGCAACAGTGCGGCGTCTCGTTCTTGGCGCAAGTAGCGAAGCACCTCGCCCTCATCCGAGCTTTGTTCATCGGTTGCTTCGATCTTGGACTTCTCGATCATTTTGTGGAGAAGCGTATTTTGCTCTGTAAGCTCAGAGATCTTCGCTTCTGCGGCGCGTTTGGCGTCGTCGAGTTGTTTCTTCTCGGCGAGCTCCTTGATACGTGCGGCGGAGAGTTCTCTCTCCGCTTTCGAGGCGGAATCCTTCGCGGCAGCCAACGACTTTTCAACCTCAGCTTGGGACTTCTCCATAGCGACGAGCTTAGCTTGATCAGCTGTGTGTGCAGCAAGTTCTTTTTCGTATTGTTCAGTCGCTTCGCGCCATTTCGCGTGCTCGCTCTCGACGTCTTTGACTGCCTGCGTCGCGCGGTCCTGAGCCGCCTTGGTTTCGCCTTGCGCGCGTTCAAGCTCGGCGCGAACACTCTTCATTTCTGACTCTACTTTCGCGTACTGCGCAGCCTTTGACTCCAAATCTTTAACGGCGAGTGCGAGCTTGCTCTCAACGGAGCTGGCCGCATCGGCCGCTTCCTTCTTGAGCTGTGCGCACTCAGACTTGAGCGCGCTCAACTCCTTTGCGCTCTGCGCCTTGTGCGCATCAAAGGCCTTGGTCATTTCCTTGAGGGCCGCGTCACTCTGCTGCGCGAGGGCCTTGAACTGCGCAGTGTGGGTCTTCTCGCTTTCGAGCGCAGCCTTGGCCTCGTCCGCGACCTCGCCCGCCTTGAGTGCAGCTTGGAGGAGTTCGTGCTCTCGCTGAGCAGTGATGGGGCCCGTCGAACTAGCATTCAATGTAGTCGGTTCGCTCAAGCCACTTGTACGCGTAGCCAATCTCAACTTCTCCTCAGTCTTCATCAGCGTCGCTTCTATCATTTCCAGCTTTGCCTCGGCGATGTCGGCACGCTTCATAGCCTCGCCCATTTGCTCCTTGAGCTGTGCACTCGACTCGTCAACCGACTTGGAGCGCTGTGCGAATTCAGAGCTTGCCGCGGCGTGAGCAGCCAACTGTTGTCGACCCCGCTCTCGTTCGATATCGAGCTCTGAACGCACTCTAATATAATCTTGCTGAAGCCTGTTAACTTCGTCCGTCAAACGAGCGAGCGACTGCTTGTGCTCTTCCTCGCGCAACGACGACAGCGCAAGCGCAGAATCGCGAGACGACTCGATCTTCAACTTGATTTCCTCAGCGGCGCTCACGACGTCAGATAGACGCTGTTGTTCAATCATGAGCAATGCATTTTCACTCTCCAACTTGGTAACGATCGTCTGCGCGTTACTCGCACGCTCTTGGGCGGCGTCTAGGCTAGCACCTTGCTGGCGCAGCTTTGCTTCGTTCGCGGCATTTTGTTGCGTCAACGCCGAATTCTTCTCAGAAAGCGCATGCAATTCGCGTTGAGACGCGCCATATTGCTCGTTCAAACGCTCATAACGCTTACGCTCGAAGTCCGCCGACGAATTTGCCGCGTTTGCTTCGCCTCTGGCCGTCGCTGCCGCTTCTCGGTGCTCGTCCACTTGGCGTTGGAGTTCCTTCACACGATCTGCACTCTCTCGCTTCAGCTTGTCCAAGTCGTGCGACAATTCCTTGTTCAGAGCAACGAGCTCGTTGTTCGTCTCCATCATTGCCACGCCGCTTCCAGCTCCGATGGCGACGAGTTCTGAATTCTTACTTTCGAGCTCATGCAATTCTCCATCATCGCCGTTACCGCCGCCCATTGCCGAAGTGTATAACGTCTTGTACATATCACGCTGGCGCACGATAGCTTGAACGATGTTTTCTTGCTGCGTGCGCTTGCTAGACAGCTCTTCGAGTTGACGCGCAGTCTGATCTTTGAGTTCTTGGAGCTTACGCTCGTATTCCTCTCGCGCTTCGGACGTTCTGCTCTCTTGCGCGTCTGACAAATCGCGAATGACGAAGAGCATCTCCTGGTTCTTGGCTTGCAACGATTGAATGTCGGTGAAATCAACGAGCCTGGACGTAATGACGGCTTGAGCGTCGCCTCCCTCGACTTGAGCGACCGGCATGGGCACCGGCGGGCAGCCCTTGAGCTCGTGAACCTCGTTGAGGAGGAGTGCGACTTGGCGTGCCAAGTCTGCGCTTTGCGCCCTGTAGCCCGTGAGCATGCGCTCATGTTGACGCCGGTCCGAATTGATCGCGTTGAGCTCGCTCTCGATGGACATCCGAGCGCTTTCGGAATCTTGCAATTGTGCCCTGAGAACCTCGTGCGACTTCAACGCACGTTCGTACTCCGCATCTCGCTCCGCCAGGTACGGCGCCTGGGACTCGAGGTCCTTCAAAATTGCGTCCAAGTTTTCTTCCAGCACTCTTTTCTGCTCGCGCTCGGTACGAAGCGCGTCCTCGGCCTCGACGTACTTGCTGTATAACTCGGTGGTAGACATCCCATCGCGCTCGAGCGCCGCGGAGGCGGCTGCCGGAGACAAAAGCATGAGCTGCTCCGCGGTTTGCGAGCGATGAGACGGCTCGCGCACGACGGTGGTTTCGCTCATGTGCTGCTTTGCGGCTTCGAGCTCCGCCTCGGCTCGCGCCTTTGCATGCTTAGCCTCAGCAAGAGCGACATCGAATTCCACCTTCTTTGCCTCTATCACGGCTTCGGCGGAGCGTAATGTCGCCTCGAGCTCCTTGATGCGTCCTTCTCTTTCAGTGACAATTTCCTTCGAAACCTCAGCGATGCGCTCTGATTTTGCGAGCTCCTTCTCAAAGTTCGCCTCGTCGCGAGCTTTTTCGACGCGAACATCTCGAAGTTCTTCCTCGAGAGCCAAAATCTTCGCATCTGCCGAGTCGAAACGCTCCTTGAGTGTCGCCAACTCTCGCTCCTGCGTGGTGATTTTGTTCCGTCCCAACTCCAGTTCTTGCTTCAACCTCAACGCCTCCGCCGACGTGGACTTGGTGGAAGAGAGAATTTCCGACGTCTTCACTTCGAGCTCCTTCTTCAACCACGCGTTGTGCTCCTCTAAAGCCTTGACCTCGCTCTCGAGCTTTTTCGTTCGTCCCAACGCGCCGCTCGCCTCGGCGGTCGCCTTGCGGGATTCCGCCTCCGCCTTGTTCTTCCCAGCGTTCGCCGCCTCAAGCGCGGCGATATACCCGTCCATCGTCGTCTTGACTGCGTCAAGCTCACGCATCTTCCGCTCGCTCGCGTCCAGAAGCTCCCGTTTCGCAGCGCGCGCGTCGTCCCGCTCCCGCGTCGCCCGCTCGCACTCCTCCCGCGTCGCTCGCTCCTTCCTTCTTGCCTCCTCCGCGTTCGCCCTCGCCTCGTCCCGCTCCCGCGCGCACGTTTCTCGCGCCGTCTGTTCCGCCCTAAGCGCCGTCTTCGTCTCGTTCAGCTCTCTCAAAACGCCGTCGTGTCGTCTCGCGAGCGCGGCGTCGCGATGCCTTCGCTCCAAGTCCTCCGCGGAATCTCTCGCCTCACGCATCGTCGACGGGCGATCGGCGACGTGCGCCGACGCGGCGTTCTCGCCGTCAACCATGTCGACCGACCAGTGAGGATTTAAGGCGCCGCGCGCGGACGTGTGCGGGGCGCGTCGCGAGATTGGATGGACATTTTCGAAAAAAAACTTTTTTTAATTCGATCCACCACACGCACCGCCCGCACACATCGTCGCTCGAGCGAATTTTGAGGCGTAACCATGGTGCAGCTCGAGAACGATGCGTTCTTGACCGAGCTCACCAAACTCTTTGAGCGCTCGAGGGAAGCGGGTACGGTGACGTGCACGATGAAGATCGTGAACGAGAACGAGCTCAAGCCAAAACCCAAGGGAACGAAGCGCTCGACGCCGTCGTTGGAGGAGATCCGTGCGATCGGGAGCGGATACGGGGTGCTCGTGCGAGCGACGTGCGGGAAGCGCAAGGTGAGTACGTTCGTAAGACCGGAGAAGGCGGCGAAGTTCGCGAAGAGCTATCAGACCATTCAGCTCGCGTACATGGATTTCGCCGTCGCGGAGACGTCCAAGAAGAAGAAGATGAAGGCCAAGGCCAAGGCGAAGGCCAAGGGCGCGAGTGGGTCCGCAAAGAAGAGCAACGCGAAGTCAACGGTGGAGAAGGGGCAAGAATCGAAATCCAAGGCGACGGGGTCGGAGCCGTCGGCTGGCGCGAAGCAGGCGGCGGGCGCCGCGAGCGGGAAGAAGACAGGAAAAAAGTGACGAGATCACGACAGTGCGTAGCCCATAGAGATCGTTGTTAGTGCAGGTAGTGTCGACGTGACGCGCGTGCGTTTTCCCCTCCCCCGTGGACCGTCGCCTCGCGCCGCGCGCGCGACGAGACATGTGACCCCCAACCCGCATGAGTCAAAACTCAAGAAACCATCGAATATCGATCCGCGGCTCGTGACGTGACGGAAACTCCGGTTGGCGCGTTCGTCACACTCGCGCGCTCGACGCCCGCGACACCCCGAGCTCGCACGCGCGCGCGCACGAACGACCGACAGACGCAGATCATGCCGTCCAAGACTCTCGCCGTCGCCGGCGTCGCCGCGCTCGCCTTCGCCTCTGGCGCGAACGCGATCGCGCTCGATCTCACCACGGAAACGTTCGACTCTCAAGTTGGCGCCGGAAAGGGTGCCTTCGTGAAATTTTTCGCCCCCTGGTGCGTCTTCTAGCGTTCGTACGATTACGTGCGCGTTCCGGGGCGCTCCCGGGCGCGAGTTGAGTTGCAACACCCTCTTGATCTGCGAGCGCGAGATCTGAGAGCATCTTGTTTGGATAATTACGTAGTACGACGCGCGAGAGTCGTTCGTGACGCGATGCCATCAATCGCGCGATGACTGACGATGTTTATGGAACAAATTTTACGCCTCACAGGTGCGGACACTGCAAGGCGCTCGCGCCGGCGTGGAAGCAGCTCGGCGAGGCTTTTGCCGACAACGAAAACGTCGTGATCGGCGACGTGGATTGCACCAAGGAGGAGAGCCTCTGCCAAAAGTACGGCGTTCAGGGCTACCCGACGCTTAAGTACTTCACCGGCGCCACCGCGGCGACTGGTGACGCGTACCAGGGCGGCCGCGACTTCGAGGCTCTCCAAACGTTCGCGTCCGAGAACCTCGGCCCGTCTTGCGGCGCCGAGAACATCGACCTCTGCAACGAAGAGCAAACGAAGACGATTAAGGAAAAGCAAGCGCTCACCCCGGAAGCGCTCGCCGCCGAGATTGCTGAGCTCGACGCCGAAATGAACAAGGCCGGTGCCGATTTGGACGAGCTCTTGAAGAGTCTCCAAGCGCAATACGAGGAGGGCAAGAAGAAGAAGGACGATACCATCGCGGCAATCTCCCCGAAGATGGGGCTCTTGCGATCCGTTCAACGCGCCGCCGCGTCGGAAGCCCCCAAGGACGAACTCTAAGCGCTCAGTTGCTAGTAAGGAATATGAATACAAGTATTAAAATTACAAGAAGTGTTGCCTGTGTAATTTCAGAAAAGTCTTGAAAAGCCCTTCTCACTCGAGCATGAAATCCTCCCATGAAACCCAATCCCCAGACTTCGAGTAGTACACCTGTGGGTCCTTGGGCATGTTCCAAGGCTTATTTCCAGCCTTGCACCAGTTTAGAAACACCGAGCGCTTGCCTGTTTCGAACTTCCACGAACGCATCTCCACCCTCGCCTCCTCGTACGACATGCGCGACTGTCGCAAGCTCATCTTCCCAACATCTGCGATGACCCGCGGCGTGAAGAGCCTTAAAGCGTGACGTAGATCGTTTCTACCGTGCTTGAAAAGCTCTGTGTCCGATGGCACGAAGACTATGACTTTGTTCAATCGCGGACTCGCCCTGGTGGTAATGTTGTGCTCGAGAGAGAACTGGCGCAAGGCCGTAGCCGCGGCAACCGCCGTGGGGTACTTCACGCGACCCCATTTACTGAGCTCGAGCTTTAAACGCTTGGCAACGACACCAAACCCTCCGTGAACGCGAATGAACTTGACCAAATCGTCCCGTTCGATCTCTTCAAGTTGCGCCGCGCACGGCAACTGTCCCGGACGAAGCCCATGTGCGACGAGCGATTCGTCCTCGAGAAGTTCAAGAATCTCGTCGCGCAATGTTTCGAATGATAGCAGATGCCGATTTTCCATTCGACGTGCCTGCTGCCATCCGAGCTCTTTGGCCACCGCTCTGTAGCCTCCGTGAAGTACCACGGCATGATGCAAATCCCAACGTCTCGCCTCCACCAAGTTGGCCATCGTCGGCATCACGGGAACGTCCAAGCCTCCGCCGTCACCATCCACGGGAGGGTCAACTCGCAACGCGCCGCTTATATCATTGTACCAAAACGTCTCGTCGCCGTCCATTTCTTCGAACCAAAACGCGTCGACGAGTTTTAGCAACGCTTGCTCCAAATTATCTATATTGTCCCAATAGTACCAAGGCGCTGCGTCCGGCTTTAAATCCAACTCCAACGCAACCTCGCGCCAATCCCCTAGAGACTCGACGCGCTTAACAAGATCTCTATAACCCTGTTTTATCAGCGACAACCGCTGGGGCATCCCGTACGCGTCCGTGCCGAGCATTCTCGAAAATGGCAACAAATCGTTGCGAAGCTCGTTCAGGCGCACCTCTCGCGTTGCCAATTCCAAAAGTCCCGCCGGAGGATCGAGAAACAGCGCTTGCGCATTCGGAATCCAACGTGGAAACATACTCGGGACGAACGGCACGTAATGCAGCGGTCGTTCACCAAGAGACGTCTCCTCCAATCCCTCGACGAGGAGCAAGAACTCCTCGTCCGAATCGAACGCATCGTCATCGTATGCCTCATCAACGAACAGCGCATCGTCCAACCGACGCAAAAACGCGCGCTCGTCCTCGTTCAACGTCTCTCCATCCACGGTCTTCCCCCCCTCGTCGCCATCATCGCTCACACGTGTCCTCTCGCTCGTCTCCGCCTCCGCGTCTCCGCGCAGCGCGCCGCCCGTCGACGCCACGTCCGTCACCACCCCAACCAGCGTCTCGGGATCGTCGTCCAGGTACACCTCCCAACCCATGAACGCCGACGCGTTCCCCAGCCGCACGCCGTCGTCCATCGATCCGTCGTCGTCGTCATCGACGTCGTCGCCCTCGTCCTCGCGCCAAGGCAACCGCCGCCGTCCGAACGCGTCCACGACGTCGTCGCCCTCGCGCGCGCGCGCGCATCGCACGCGTCCACGTCGCCGTCGCCGTCGCCCGGACGTCCGGGCGACGCCCGCGCGCGCGGACGCGAGCGGGCGCGACATGAAGTGTCGCTCGAGTGCGCCGCGCCCATCGGCAAAGATGAGCACGCGCGGGAGCAGACTCGAGGCTCGCAACGCGCGCGAGGGCGCGGTCGCGGAGGGGCGGGTGAAGGCGTGGGAGCGACGGTGCGCGCGAGGCGTTCGACGGGCGCGACGACGCGGTAGAGACGTCGTTTGTTTACGGTTTCGTTGGCTTCAATCCGATGACGACGCTTCGAACGACGACGACGACGACGCGCGATGCGGGAGGCGAAGACGGTGACGACGACGATGTGAGAGACGCGTCGGACTGACGACGGGCGACGACGGGTGGGACGACGCAGGATGGTGGAGGTGGAGAGCGCGAAGGACGCGCAAGGCGGGACGCGCAAGACGACCTTCTTGAAGTGGGTCCCGGCCACGGACGAGCGGGGTGGAGACGTCGAGGCGTCGCCGCGAGGGGCGGAGGGATGCCCGTACGAGCTCGTGGAGGAGGAGGACTCTAAAGAGGGCGGATGAGACCTCGCGCGGGGGTCGACGAAAGTGGTGGCGTTCTACATCGCTACAGCGCGCCGCAAACGGGGCGATGCGATTCGAACGATCGAACGAGATGTCAATCGTCGTGGCTAACTTGTTTCTGACGGTTTGCGCGCTCAGTGGCGACGACCGCCGCGCATTGGGCCGCGCGCGTGGTTCGCGCGCGGGGGTTTCTCGGTTTTCGTCTTTTGATGCCACGCTTTCTTATCTTGCTCTAAAGGACGAGGTAGGACGGCGCCTATGGCACAACCTATGGCGAATAGGAGCACCGCGTACACAACCTCGCTCATCTTCGACGAACGTGCGAACGTGTGCGGGTCATCGACGCATCTACAGGGTACTGTTACAAAGCTCTCTTGGAGGCGACTACATCGGCGGCAAATGCCTGCGGCATGTCGGACACTCCTGCTTGATGTCCATCCATCGCGTCAGGCATTTTGTGTGGAAAAAGTGGTTACACGGAGTCACCATGCGCTCGTTCGTGTGGTAGATCTGCACCGAATTCATGCAAATGACGCAGTCGACGCCAGAGGAGACGTCGCCCATCTCGATGTCTGGCTCCCCACCGGGAGGGACGGCGGCTTCCTCTACGATCCCGCATTGCTCCAAGACTTCCGCGGTGAGCGCGCGATGATAGTCGTAAACCTCTGGGAACAATCCATCTGGAAAGCCGTATCGCGGGCTCACATAATACTGCGCGAGCAAGACCCCGCACTGTGCCGTGGTCCACACGATGATGAGCGCGCAGTAGAAATAGTTTGGTCTGACGCGTAAGAAGTTGGACGGACATCCGTAGACGTACAGCGGCACCACAATCCGACTGAAAGATGTCAGAATCACGTACCACGGCTCCAACGCCTGCCGATGGTTGTAATACGCGTTACGCCAGATTTGTGGAAGCCAATACGAGATTGTAATCAATAAGAAGACGATGAAGTGATTGGAGAGCCAAAACGCCAGGAATAATCCTCCGATGAATCCGGCGTAAAACCGCGAGTAAATCGCGCCGAGTTGAACGCGAAGCTCGATCCAGCTTGTTATATCCGGTCGACGTACGCGCCAAGCGGCGATGAGGTGCTTCATCTCTAAAATGCTGAAGAGGATGAAGTATCCGGCGGCGACGATCGAGAGAGGAAGGAACAGGTCTTCCACAACAATGCCCGCGGTGAGATGGGCGAGGCAGAAGTACGAATCCACGACAGAACGCATGCCAATCGACGCCAACGAAACGCGCATGAGCGCTGCTTGCGTCGTACTCACGTCCAGCTGTTTGAGTAACACGTATCCTTGCAAAATTGTCACCGCCATCATCGTATACGAGTACAATCGCGCCTTTCTGTACCACGTCTCTAATTTTTCACTTTCCAACTCCATGTGCACCGTGATCCCGCAGTCAACGCTCACGAGCTTAGCAACCATAGAAACATGCTCCTCCATCTCCTCGAACTCGAGCGGACGCGCGTCCTCGATTTGCCTATCCAACACGTCCACATCCGACTCGCCCTTCTCCAATTCGTCGTCTCCGAGCTTCTTTGCCACGTCACCGCTCTGACTCGATGGATCGATCGGATCCAAGTACGCGTGTAACGAAAACTTACATGCACTCGGATACGTTCCAGCGTCGTGCGTTCGCAAGAAGCGCTCCCTCGCAGTCTTTCCCGCTCTTCGCACCGCGTCGTCCCGCGAGTACGAATCACGTGCTCCGCCGTCGCCTGCATTGTCCTCCTCTCCATCCTCATCCACGAGATCCATCGCGATTGCCCGTAAACTCTCCCTAAACACATTACCCTCCCGAAACATCCACGAAGACGTCGCGTTCGTTATCGTCTCGAAATCTTTCGTCGTCCGAGCGCTCCCGTGCGCGTGCGCCGTCCCGCTTCTCCTCTCGTACACCCCCTCCAGCGGTATCATAGCGTCTCCCGTCCCCACGTACTCATCCTTGCGAATCACCAACTCCCCCACCACGCTCACCACGTCGCTCTCGCCTCCATCGGACGCGCGCAAACGCAGCGTCGCCTCGCCTCTCGTCCACCCGTCTCGCGTCATCCGCCTCGCGCTCGCGTCGTCCTCGACGATCCACGTCCCCTTGAACGACCCTCGCAACGCCCTCGGCCGCGTCGTCGACGGCACCGACGACGCACTCGCGGTCGACGCGAGCGCGCACGCGCACGCGAGCGCGAGCGCGAGCGCGCGGCGTCTCGATGAAATCATTGAAAAAATCAAAAATCAGAACGCAGAGACGCGTCGTCCCTTCGTCGCGTCGTCCCCGCCGCCGACGCACGGCGCTCGACGCGACGACGCGCACGCCGGCGCCGCGCGTCGGTCGCGCGCTCACCGCGCGCACGACACTGCGGAAACCGCGATCGATGACCGCAGAGTTTGACGAACGACCCATCATGGCGCGCGGTGGGAAACCCGGCCGAGGCGGCCGAGGCGGCCGCGCGCGGCGCGAAGAGGAAGAGCGAGCCGCTCGTAACGCCGAGGTGCGCGCGCGAGGACGACGCCGACGCGCGAGGGAGGGTGCCAAGAGATTTTGATGTCGATCGACTGACGACGCGTCGCGCGCGGTTTCTTCGCTGACGCAGTGGAAAGCGTCGCGCAGACGCGGTACCGAGGACTCCGATGAGGACTCCGATGAGGACTCCGATGAGGACTCCGACGAGGAGGAATCGGAGAGCGAAGAGGCGCCGGTGCGAGGACGACCGGTTCCGGGGTCGCTGCCGCCGAACTCGGAGAGCGACGACGATTCGGAGAGCGACGACGAGAGCGATCTGTTGGCGATGATGGCGCCGAGGGAGAAAACGAAACCCGATGAGCCGTCTCCGGACGAGATCTTGGCGCAGAAGAGTAAGAAGCAGTTGGAGGCAGAGATGGAGAAGCTCAGGCTCGTGCGCGAACGAAGAGCGGCGCAGGCCAAGGCGAGGATCGAGGCGGATGGCGGTGTCGATCGATACGCCGTCGGCGCGGGCGAGGGGAAGACGAGAGGCGATGATTCCGATTCCGGTAGCGACGACGACGACGATGACTCGGATTCCGATTGAAATTAATCGTGAAAGAATATTCTTTGACGCGAAGCGTTACAACTCGTCGACCTCTACGTTTGATCGCGTTCGAGGGCGTCTTTGCGCAGCATGCTCTCGATGAAAAATTCACCAGCCTTGTACGAGCTCCGCACGAGCGGTCCAGAGGCGACGTATCGGAATCCGATCTCTTCCTCGCCAAACTTTTTCCAATAATCAAACTTCTCCGGAGTGACGAACTCTGAAACCGGGAGATGGTTGGACGTCGGTTGCAAATATTGGCCGAGGGTGAAGATGTCCACGCCCGCCTCCTTACACGCGCGCATGCACTCCTTAATCTCGTCATCTGTCTCACCGAGACCGAGCATGATGGACGTCTTCGTGACGAGTCCCTCCTTGGACTCCTTGGCGTGACGAAGCACGGAGAGCGACTGCTCGTATCCGGCGCGAGGATCGCGAACGCGCTTTTGCAATCGCTCCACTGTCTCCACGTTGTGCGCGAACACGTCCAGTCCCGACCGAGCCAAGTGCGCGACGGCGTCCATGTCTCCCTGAAAGTCCGGCGTCAGCGCCTCGACGAGCACCGAGCTCTTTATCCGTTTCAGCGTGCGAACCGTTCGGGCAAAGTGCTCGCTCCCGCCGTCGGGAATATCGTCTCGATCGACGCTCGTGAGAACGATGTATCCCACGCCCCACTCCGCGATCGCGTGCGCGGTATTCTCCGGCTCATCCTCATCCGGAGGTGGCGGCTTCTGCGCCGTATTCACCGCGCAAAATCGACACCCGCGCGTGCACGTGTCCCCCAACAACATCACCGTCGCCGTCCCCGTGTCCCCGTTCCAGCACTCACCGACGTTCGGACACATCGCCTCCTCACACACTGTGTTCAGCTTCAATCCTCCGAGCGACGCGCTGAGATACTCGAATCGCGCTCCGCTCGGCGCGCGCTGCCGCAACCACGGCGGTTTCTTCAGTCCCGCCGGCAGCCCCTTTATCGTCCTCTCACTCTCCACCGTCGCGTCGACGACGGGTCCACACATCGCCGACGCCACCTCTCGCGCCCGTTCCCGTCGCGCGTCGTCCACGACGACCCCGTTCTTCGCCGCGAGCGCGACGAGTTCACCGAACGCGTCGCCGCGCTCCAACCGCGCGCGCTCATTCGCATCGTCCTCGTGCGTCGCCGCGATCGTTCGACGCCGCGGCGCGCGACGTGAACGCGCGCGCGCGGGCACCGTCGACGTCGACGCGCGCGCGACCGCGAACATCGCCCGCGGCGTCGAGCGGTGGCGTCGGCGTCGCGTCGCGTCGGTGGCGGTGAAGGTGTCGGCGTCGGATGCCGCGACGAGTGGTGACTCGAGAAAGAGTCCC